TAAATCCAAGGAGAAACACACCGAGACACATATTAATCAAACTATCCAAAATTAAATACAAAGAAAAAATATTAAAAGCAGCAACGGAAAAGCAACAAATAACATACAAATGAATCTCCATAAGGTTAACAGCTGATCTTTCAGCAGAAACTCTGCAAGCCAGAACGGAGTAGCAGGACATATTTAAAGTGATGAAGGAGAAAAACCTACAACCAAGATTACTCTACCCAGCAAGGATCTCATTCAGATTTGATGGAGAAATTAAAACCTTTACAGACAAGCAAAAGCTAAGAGAATTCAGCACGACCAAACCAGCTTTACAACAAATGCTAAAGGAACTTCTCTAGGCAGGAAACACAAGACAAGGAAAAGACCTACAATAACAAACCCAAAACAATTAAGAAAGTGGAAATAGCAACATACATATCGATAATTATCTTAAATGTAAATGGATTAAATGCTCCAATCAAAAGACCTAGACTGGCTGAATGGATACAAAAACAAGACCCATATATATGCTGTCTACAAGAGACCCACTTCAGACCTAGGGACACATACAGACTGAAAGTGAGGGGACTGAAAAAGATATTCCATGCAAATGAAAGCTGGAGTAGCAATTCTCGTATCAGACACAATGGACTTTAAAATCATATCTTGGGTCACAAATCAAGCCTTGGTAAATTTAATAAAATTGAAATCGTATCAAGTATCTTTTCTGACCACAACGCTATGAGACTAGATATCAATTACAGAAAAAAATCTGTAAAAAATACAAGCACACGGAGGCTAAACAATACACTACTTAATAACCAAGAGACCACTGAAGAAATCAAAGAGGAAATCAAAAAATACCTAGAAACAAATGACAATGAAAACACGATGACCCAAAACCTATGGGATACAGCAAAAGCAGTTCTAAGAGGGAAGTTTATAGCAATACAATCCTACCTTAAGAAACAAGAAACAGGGCTTCCCTGGTGGCGCAGTGGTGGAGAGTCCGCCTGCCGATGCAGGGGACGTGGGTTCGTGCCCAAGTCAGGGAAGATCCCACATGCCACAGAGCGGCTGGGCCCGAGAGACATAGCCGCTGAGTCTGCGCGTCTAGAGCCTGTGCTCCGCAACGGGAGAGGCCACAACAGTGAGAGGCCCACGTACCACAAAAAAAAAAAAAAAGAAAAGAAAAGAAAAATTAATTTAAGAAAAAGAAACAAAAAACATCTCAAATAAACAACCTAACCTTACAGCTAAAGCAATTAGAGAGAGAAGAACAAAAAAACTCCTAAGTTAGCAGAAGGAAAGAAATCATAAAGATCAGATCAGAAATAAATGAAAAAGAAATGAAGGAAACGATAGCAAAGATCAATAAAACCAGAAGCTGGTTCTTTGAGAAGATAAACAAAATTGATAAACCGTTAGCCAGACTCATCAAGAAAAAAAGGGAGAAGACTCAAATCAACAGAATTAGAAATGGAAAAGGAGAAGTAACAACTGACACTGCAGAAACACAAAGGACCATGAGAGATTACTACATGCAACTCTATGCCAATAAAATGGACAACCTGGAAGAAATGGACACATTCAGAAAACCACAACCTTCCGAGACTGAACCAGGAAGAAACAGAAAATATGAACACACAAATCACAAGTACTGAAATTGAAACTGATTAAAAATCTCCCAACAAACAAAAGCCCAGGACCAGATGGCTTCACAGGTGAATTCCATCAAACATTTAGAGAAGACCTAACACCTATCCTTCTCAAACTCTTCCAAAATATAGCAGAGGGAGGAACACTCCCAAACTCATTCTACAAGGCCACCATCACCCTGATACCAAAACCAGACAAAGATGTCACAAAGAAAGAAAACTACAGGCCAATATCACTGATGAACATAGATGCAAAAATCCTCAACAAAACACTAGCAAAGAGAATCCACCAGCACGTTAAAAGGATCATACACCATGATCAAGTGGGGTTTATCCCAGGAATACAAGGATCCTTCAATATACGCAAATCAATCAATGTGATACACCTTATTAAGAAACTGAAGGAGAAAAACCATATGATCATCTCAATAGATGCAGAGAAAGCTTCTGACAAAATTCGACACCCATTTATGATAAAAACCCTGCAGAAAGTAGGCATAGAGGGAACTTTCCTCAACATAAAAAGGCCACATATGACAAACCCACAGCCAACATCATCCTCAATGGTGAAAAACTGAAACCATGTCCACTAAGATCAGGAACAAGACAAGGTTTCCCAGTGTCACCACTATTATTCAACATAGTTTTGGAAGTTTTAACCACAGCAATCAGAGAAGAAAAAGAAATTAAAGGAATCCAAATTGGAAAAGAAGAAGTAAAGCTGTCACTGTTTGCAGATGACATGATCCTATACATAGGGAATCCTAAAGACGCTACCAGTAAACTACTAGAGCTAATCAATGAATTTGGTAAAGTAGCAGGATACAAAGTTAATGCACAGAAGTCTCTAGCATTCCTATACACTAATGATGAAAAATCTGAAAGTGAAATTAAGAAAACACTCCCATTTACCCCTGCAACAGAAAGAATAAGATATCTAGGAATAACCTACGTAAGGAGACAAAAGACCTATGTGCAGAAAATTATAAGACACTGATGAAAGAAATTAAACATGATACAGAGAGATGGAGAGATATACCATGTTCTTGGATTGGAAGAATCAACACCGTGAAAATGACTCTACTACCCAAAGCAATCTACAGATTCAGTGCAATCCCTATCAAACTACCAATGGCATTTTTCACAGAACTAGAACAAAAATTTTCACAATTTGTATGGAAACGCAGAAGACCCCGAATAGCCAAAGCAATCTTGAGAATGAGAAACAAAGCTGGAGGAATCAGGCTCCTGTACTTCAGACTATACTACAAAGCTACAGTAATCAAGACAGTATGGTACTGGCACAAAAACAGAAATATAGATCAATGGAACAGGATAGAAAGCCCAGAGATAAACCCACACACATATGGTCACCTTATCTTTGATAAAGGAGGCAAGAATATACAGTGGAGAAAAGACAGCCTCTTCAATAAGTGGTGCTGGGAAAACTGGACAGTTACAGGTAAAAGAATGAAATTAGAACACTCCCTAACACCATACCCAAAACTAAACTCAAAATAGATTAAAGACCTAAATGTAAGGCCAGACACAATCAAACTCTGAGCGGAAAACATAGGCAGAACACTCTATGACATAAATCACAGCAAGATCCTTTTTGACCCATCTCCTAGAGAAATGGAAATAAAAACAAAAATAAACAAAGGGGACCTAATGAAACTTAAAAGCTTTTGCACAGCAAAGGAAACCATAAACAAGTCCAAAAGACAACCCTCAGAATGGGAGAAAATATCTGCTAATGAAGCAACTGACAAAGGATTAATCTCCAAAACATACAAGCAACTCATGCAGCTCAATATCAAAAAACGAACAACCCAATCCAAAAATGGGCAGAAGACCTAAACAGACATTTCTCCAAAGAAGATATACAGATTGCCAACTAACACCTGAAAGAATGCTCAACATCATTAATTATTAGAGGAATGCAAATCGAAATTACAATGCGACATCATCTCACACCGGTCAGAATGGCCATCATCAAAAAATCTACAAACAATAAATGCTGGAGAGGGTGTGGAGAAAAGGGAACCCTCTTGCACTGTTGGTGGGAATGTAAATTGATACAGCCACTATGGAGAACAGCCTGGAGGTTCCTTAAAAAACTAAAAATAGAACTTCCTTATGACTCAGCAATCCCACTACTGGGCATATACCCTGAGAAAACCATAATTCAAAAAGAGTCATGTACCATAATGTTCACTGCAGCTCTATTTACAATAGCCAGGACATGGAAGCAACCTAAGTGTCCATCGACAGATGAATGGATAAAGAAGATGTGGCATAGACATACAAGGGAATATTTCTCAGCCATAAAAAGGAACGGAACTGAGTTATTTGTAGTGAGGTGGATGGACCTACAGACTGTCATACAGAGTGAAGTAAGTCAGAAGGAGAAAAACAAATACTGTATGCTAACACATATATATGGAATCTAGAAGAAAAAGAAAAAAGAAAAATAAATGGTCCGATGAACCTATGGGCAAGATGGGAATAAAGATGCAGACCTACTAGACCATGGACTTGAGGATACGGGGAGGGGGAAGGGTAAGCTGGGACAAAGTGAGAGAGTGGCATGGACATACATACACTACCAAACGTAAAATAGCTAGCTAGTGGGAAGCAGCCGCATAGCACAGGGAGATCAGCTTGGTGCTTTGTGACCACCTAGAGGGGTGGGATAGGGAGGGTTGGGAGGGTGGGAGATGCAAGAGGGAAGAGATATGGGGACATACGTATATGTATAACTGATTCACTTTGTTATAAAGCAGAAACTAACACACCATTGTAAAACTATTATACTGCAATAAAGATGTTAAAAAAAAAAACAAAAAAACCCTGGAGTAAATGTAGGTATTTAGAGAAAAATGAGGAAGCCTGATTGCCGTCCTCAGGCTCTCAAAATGATTCCATAAAACGGATTAAGACTAAATTAGAGAAGGGAGAAATTATAGTGTTCTCCCTCATAGTCGCAAATGCAGACACAGGACATCATGGCACTGAAACACATCACCCACATAGCAATTCATGGGAATAGTCACCCATGCAAAAATGGAAAAAAAAAAAAAAAAAAGGAATGATGACACTAATAGTCACATTCCATGTACGTATACCCCTGGGGTCAAGTAGGGATGAAAATGAAAAAGTCCAAGAAACTGGGAAGGAGACCGGCTAGATTACAAATAAGCTTGGACGAGAAGGTAAAGTCGGATGCTTTTCTGATTAATCTGGGACTAGTTAAAATGTTCTGGGCTTCCTGGGATGGTGGGAGAGATATAACCTACAAAGAACATTGTTCATCACCTCAGTTCTTCTTCCTTATTGCCTCCTTCAGATTGGATGCAGTCTGGATACCCCATCATGTGCCACGTGCAGTCAGTGCCTGTGTTCCTTGATGAGACGATCATAAGATCCAAAGGCATCTGGGGTCTCTTCCACGAGATGGGCCGCAACTTGAAGCATTCTGGATGGATTATCCATCCTCATACCACTGAGGCCATGTGCAACCTCTGGTCAGTCTATGTGAGTGAGACAGTGCTGGACATCCCCGGGAATCAGGCCCACTCTCGTCTGAGTCCTCAAAATCGGGAGCAGAGGATCCAAATGCACACGGACAAGGGAACCCCCCTGACTGACCAGAACATGTGGACGGCTCTGGAAACGTATCTTCAGGTACAGAGCAGGAACGGAGGGAAACGGGGACTACACTACAACTCCTTCAACACCGCCACCAGCCCTGGACACGGGAGACGGCTGCATGGTGGTGTCTCTCTGTGGCTCAGGTTTTACATGTCTAAGATGGATAATGATACGTGTCCTACTCCTCCCCTCCACCTCAGAACTTTGTGGAAATAAATGAAAGTGGGTGGAATCATTGTGAAAAGTATAGCACGACAACACAGTTCTGGCCATGAAAACTTGAGGTAGACTCGCAGCTTTGCCAAATACACAATTGAGTGGTTTCTCCTGAGTTATCTTTATAGTTCAGAAGACAAGAACATCACCTCACTATAACAATGCATTACGAGGACACAGGCTGGGGAAAGTGACCTGGTAGCAAGTTTCTCAAAATGGTATCTTCTTACTTAAACCCCAAGTGTGGATAAGTCCTAGTTCCATTATAAAATAAGTAACATGTGTAGTGTTTTTCAACTTTTCAAAGCCTTCCCTTCCATTTCCCCGATCTAATCCTTGCCAGCCTCATGAAACACATTAAGGACGTATTATCACAATCCTCATTTGGCAAGTGCAGAAGCTGAAGGTTAAAGGGCATAAGCAGTCTGTCATCGACCTTACAATTGAGAGAAAGGGGAAGACCTGGAACTCAGGTTTGGTGTTCTGACTCCAGACCCCCGCGCCTTTGGCACTGCCGCACGCCGTCTCTGGATGTTCACGATTCCAAAGATTCTGAGATTACTTCAGGCGGCACAATAAATTTGGACTGTTCCATTTTCCTTAGCAATAACTAATCTGTCTGAGCACATGCATGAAAGAGTCAGTGTCCCAGAAGCTTGACCTACAAGTTCAATTCAAAGCCCTTGGGGGCAGACTCCCTTCACTGCTCTCTACCTGGACTTCCATAGCTCTGGGGTTGGATTCAGGCCAGGCGGCCACCTCCCTGACCCCTCACCTTCCATTCCCACCACATGGTCAAAATTCAAGTCCCGGGCGTCTGTCATCCAAACGATTCCAATAGCCTCTTCACTAGTCTCCCTACTTCTATCCATGATGCCAACTGACCTGTCTTCCAAAGGTGCTGACAAAAAAAAACACACATTTCAGCTAATAAATCTTCAGTAACTCCCTGGTGCCTCCAGGTAGAATGCCACACTCTTTAGTAACTGGCTCTGTCTTCCCCTCCTGCCTCGAGATCCAGATTCTTGCCTTCTTACTCATTCGCCAGCAAATCCAAACTGTTTTACAGTTTTCAGAACACATTGCCATGGTCCACGTTTCTGTACATTTGCAAATATTGCTCTTTCTCACTGAAATAGTTTTGCCTTCTTTATATACCAAGAAAACTGTCCGTCTTTCAAAATCAGACCATTGTCACCTTCTCCAAGAAGCCTTCCCTGAATATGTTCCTTTGAGATATTAGTTACTTGCTCCCCCACGTTACAATTGTGTTGAAATGACCCCAGGTTGTCAGTTATTTGTTTAATTCAATTCAATTAATTAAAATTTAATTTAACTTAATAAGTTGATTATAATTAGTATTAGATATCTCCTAATGGCTCAGTCTGTGATCTCAGCTGAGCAATAATGAAAGAATGATACTGGTGTTGGCTGAGACATTCTACTTTAACTTGTCTTCAAGGCAGTGCTTCTCCAGGGTCATAGATTCCTAAGTGATGGACCAGGATTGTATCCTTTCTAGCTCTCAAGTTCTATAACCCCAACTATCCATTTCAGAGGGCCTTCCAGGAACTGACTCTGAGTACACATCTCTCCCTAGGTCTGAGTTCATCCTAGCTCTACCCACAAAAAAAAAAAAAATGCATTCTTTTTACACATCTGCCTGTCTCCATAAGACAACGTGGCAGACTTACTAAGAGTCGAGTCTTCAACAAAGAATAAAAATATCATTACATCTGGGTGGTGTCTGTGTTTTCAAATGGAAGGATTCCACTTTTCAGCTACACAAGATGATCCTCATCTATGTCAGATTAAAATCTTTATCTACCACTAAGCTTAGGAGAAAAATAATAATACTAAAAGTAACTACCATTTATTAGAGACCAAGTAAAGTGCAAGCACAGACTCCATCTCTGAGACTGGAGTGAGGCAGAATAAGATACGACACCAGTCACTGGAATGAGCATATGAGTGAATGGAGAAGGAGAGAGCCACTGTTGAGAATTAAATCAGTGTTAAAAGATAGCTTACAACTAAGCATTACCATGTAATTTTATGTGAGTATGTGTCGGGGGGGCGTGGCTTTTGTAGACCAGACACCTCATTCTGTCCCTCCCTTCTCTTCCAGCTCCAGGAGGCCTTTGGGTGGGAGCCATTCACCCAGCTCTTTGCTGAGTACCAGACCCTCTCTGGCATCCCCAGAGACAACACTGGCAAGATGAATCTGTGGGTGAAGAAATTCTCTGAAAAGGTGCACAAGAATCTGGCTCCTTCCTTTGAGGCCTGGGGCTGGCCTGTCCAGAAGGAAGTGGCTGCGAGCCTGCCCTGTCTGCCTGAGTGGCAAGAAAATCCCATGAAATCATATGCACACTACAAAAGGAGTGAAGAATTGTAGAAATGTTCACTTTAAAACAGATCATTGGATATAACAGATCTAATCCTCACATAATCAACCCAAATTTCAGCTTTATTTTTTTTCTCAATCTTGTTCAGAATATCCTAATTCATTGGCAACATAGAGATTAAAATAGACAGTGATTTTTCAAAATTAGTAATTTGCATATAACTCAACCATGTTTTCTCTAGTTTTATTTTTTAATCTTAAGAGATTTCTTTCTTGATTTGTTTAGTGTTTTACATTTGCTTTATTGGGTGACAGGAACTGCTCAGACCCAAAGACTTAACCCCAGGAATGTCTTTCCTTGGGTCCCTTTAGAGCACCTTGCTCTTTATCCTAAAATTATTTCATATGTTTCACAAGTATCTTTTGTCTGCATGGTTTGAACACAGTAGTTGGTCAACAGATACTTGATGAAAATGAATAATAGGGGGCTTTCCCGGGGGCACAGTGGTTAAGAGTCCGCCTGCCAATGCAGGGGACATGGGTTCGAGCCCTGGTCCAGGAGGATCCCACATGCCGTGGAGCAATTAAGCCCGTGTGCCACAACTTCTGAGCCTGCGCTCTAGAGCCCTCGAGCCACAACTACTGAAGCCCGCGCGCCTGGAGCCCGTGCTCCGCAACGAGAGAGGCCACCGCAGTGAGAAGCCTGCGCACCGCAACTAGAGAAAGCCCGCGTGCAGCAACGAAGACCCAATGCGGCCTAGATCTAAATTTAAATAAATTTAAATAAATTTAAATAAATTTAAAATTTATTTTAAATTTTAAAAATAAATAACTAAATTTTAAAAATAAATATAAATAAATAATAAGAAGAAAAAGAAAATGAATAATAACAACTACATGATAGAGAACTCACTGTGTGCCAGCCAGCAAGTGCTTTAACTGGACCAAGTCATTTCCTGATTGCAGCAACCCTGAATTAGGAACTATTACAGGTCCTGTTCCAAGTAGGAAAACGTGTTCCTGGAAATTAAAGCTCTAACGTTATAATAGGTTAAACCTCATGAAGATATATTTCAGATGCATAGGGGAGGGGGTGTTGATTCCCTACTTCACAAAATTCTTTAGAATTATTCCTGCAGCACAGAGGACCACGCACATCCATTTCACCTCTACAGATGGGAGCTGCCACACGGCCTACCAAACACCCCACGTGGTTCCTTTGGGAAATGATCAAACAATTTGCTGACAATTCAAAGCCTGTTATCTGAGAAAATTTGATGTTAGTGTCAGAAAGATAGACCAAGGCAAGCAAACGAAAGAAATACTGGCTTGATAAAAAGAAACGAAGCTGAGTTATCTGTAGTGACATGGATGGACCTAGAGTCTGTCATACTGAGTGAAGTAAGTCAGAAAGAGAAAAACAAATACCGTATGCTAACACATATATATGGAACCTAAAAAAAAAGAAAAGACATAGTTCTGATGAACCTAGGGGCAGGACAGGAATAAAGACGCAGACGTAGAGGATGGATTTGAGGACACAGGGAGGGGGAAGGGTAAGCTGGGACGAAGTGAGAGAGTAGCACTGACATACGTACACTACCAAATGTAAAATAGATAGCTAGTGAGAAGCAGCTGCATGGCACCGGGAGATCAGCTCGGTGCTTTGTGTCCACCTAGAGGGGTGGGATAGGGAGACGCAAGAGGGAGGAGATATGGGGATATATGTATACATAAAGCTGATTCACTTTGTCATACAGCAGAAGCTAACACACCATTGTAAAGCAATTATACTCCAATAAAGATGTTAAAAAAAAAAAAGAAATATTGGCTTGTTCCATGCATATCAATGAAACCTTTGCAAGGCACATGGTTGTGTTTTGGTCAGTATCTTCTGTGCTGGAGGATTAATGCTGCTGCAAATCCATGCTGAATGGAGTACTGCTAAGCCATGTATGCATATATAATCTTCACTGGCACACAAGGATGCTTAAATTTCAAAGTGACAAACCAACAAGTGGCAGAGCAAGGATTAACTGTAAGAACAGTTAATTTGGATTAACTGTAAGAACATATGATCATAGCTACTCTTCCTCTATTTACAGGAGCCAAATGTAAGCTCAAAGGAGAAAAATACATAAATGCGCCTTTCTTTAGTGGACTTACTCACTTTTTCATCTGTTCTATGAAGCTTCCTCTTGAGAGCTCCCTCTACCTTCTCCATGATTGGAATGGGGTTGTCAATCAAGGGACCACAGCATTCCCATCATAAGAGCTGGCACAAGACCATGGACAACCAGAGTACTCCATCCTCTGGACCTAGTGACTGGATTGTGGATGTTCACATGACTTAAGTAGAACCAGGCAGTGTCCTGTTTTGATAAGTAATCAAGTCACTGGTGAGGAAGAACAATTTTTTTTCTGAGATCACAGGTTCCATGAGCCATTTAAGCCAGGAGCTGCCTTGCAATATCATCTCTGCATAAAGAGAGACTGATGGACAATGAAACCCACACAAAGAAAAACAATGACAATCAAAGACAAAGATCTATATCCTTAAGGACACTGTTCCAAGAATCTAGATCTAGTAGTGCTGCAAGCTCCATGGCAACACCCAGACTCTTCTGTTCCTTGAATCAATAAATTGCTTCCTTTTGCTTCTACCAGTTTGAGGTGAGTTCCTGTTACCTGTCATCAGAAATGTCCAAATAAAATTTTTCCCCTTTTTAAGTCCTCTCCAGTTTGCTATTGGAGCAATGTGACTCCCGCCTTTCCTCAGGAAGGATTTACCTGGAATAGACCCTCCTGCTTTCACATCTCTCTCCTCTACTCACATTGGGCAGCTGCAGTATAACATGAGTTGAGACAGTGGTAACACAAGCCAGTTTTCCACTGATGGTAAAGATAACCAACAGTCACCAAAGCCTTCGCCTCTAGAATTCCATGATTCTGAAACCATACACTCTTGTTTTTAAAGGCACCTCTGGACAGAGAGGCTAGACAAAGAATTTGGGTTTTATTTTCCAGCTTTGGAAAGACAGGAATCTGGTCGGAAAGGCTGACAATGGTTCTTTGTCTTCTCTTTTGGGTCTCAATCTAAAAGTCATTTTTTAGAGGAAACGCCATGCCCAGCTGTGTCCTGACCATGCACGCTGCTTACCGGCAGCCACACCACCCATGCTTCATTCAATACTTCTCATCACATTCACATTTAATGTGTGTTTAATGTTCTCTTCCCTCACCAGACTGCACATTTCATGAAGGCAAGGCTGCCGTCTATATTTCTCAGACTTTATCCCCAATAAATAGCACGGTTCCTGACGCATCGGAAGGTTTTTATGGATAGGTATTTGTTGGCTGACAAGACTGACTAAGGACTTCCAACGCCTGTCCACAATGAATATCTTATAGAGCCCTATGATATTTGCTGAAATTCAAAGAAATTCTTCCATTATTCTAGAAGGAAGCAGTAATATGACTTTAGCCTTTCCTCTATTTTTTTACACCTCATACCCGGCTACAAAAATTTTGGTCATATTTGTGGTCAGACTGGATGAGTGGGAACTTTCCATTGGTCTCCTCCCAACCACTCATATATTCAAGATTCAGTACTTATGAGAATGTTTGTTTTTAGCAAAATTTTTGTGGGGAATGATGATGGAAACTTTCAAGGGATGTAATCATTTTTAAAATAAGTTCCTTAGGTCTTGACATTTTATGGTCTCTGTCTTCACTTCTTCGCATACCTGTTTCTTTTCTCTCTTCACTTGGACTTCAGCCAACCTTAATTTTGGAGAGGTTTTTCTTTTCTCTGAATTATCACTCCCCCTAGTCCTGCTATATGTCGTTAAGTTCTGGATCAAGGGCATTCCTCTAAGTCAGGATGATCCCCAAACCTTTTTATATCATCAACCAAAGTAATCCAGTCCTTTCCTGTCTGTCCTCAAGATGGCACACTAAGCACAGGCTCCAGCCTCTTTCACCCCCTGGCCCTAGATTACTAGAAAGACCAGATCTTTTCTAAAATTCTAACACAGCATTGGAAAGCCAGAAGGCAGCCTCCCCCTAAAAGATCCAGGGAGATGGTATCACATGGTAAAAGAAAACCAAGAACCTGCTCAGTGCAAAGCGCTCTACAGAGAGGAGCGACCACAGGAATTCTCCAAATCCAGAGAAGGTAGCTTGGGGGAACAGATCAATCTCAAGAATGCAAGGATGATGCCTAATACGTTCGCTGAATTTACAGGTCATAAGAGAAAAACTTTACAATCATGACAAAAAATAGTTTGAAAAACTCAAGACACAGTCATGATTAAACATTTTGTAAGACAGTGACGTAGAAACTTCCTATAACAAGTAGTGTAGGTACCAGAAACCTTTAGCAAGCATTATACTCAGTAGTTTAAAAGTAGAAGCACTCACATTACACTCAAGAATATGAAAAGAATGTTCACTCTTAGTGCTATACCTTCAGCATATCCTCGGAGGTCTTTATTAATGCATTTGGACAAGAAAAACAGACTGGAAAGGAAGGGGAAAACAGTCATTCTTCTCAGAAAATCCTCTATGTTTGGGGATTGTATATAATAGACAGCTGATGAAGTGGACGTGATGGGGACAGGTAAAGAGAGATCGAGGATGACACCTAGGCTCTTGGCTTGAGCCCTCAGTGGGTTTTTTTGGTTTGTTTTAATGTTTTGTTGAAATATAGTTGATTTACAATATCGTGTTAGTTTCAAGTTTACTGCACACCGATTTAGAGATAGGTGATAGACAGACAGGTAGGTAGACAGGTAGATGATAGATAGATAGATAGATTCTTTTTCAGGTCCTTTTCCCTTGTAGGTCATTACAAAATATTGAGTATAGTTCCCTGTGCAACAGAGTAGGTCCTTGGTGGTTATCTATTTTATATATAGTAGTGTGTATATATATATATATTAATCCCAACCTCCTAATTTATTCCTCCCCCCAGCCCCCTTTCTGCTTTGGTAACCATAAGTTTGCTTTTTACGTCTGTTTTGGAAAGAAGTTCATTTGTATCTTTTTTT